CTTTTATGACTACTATGACCATCTAATAGTAACAGAACCTTATTTTCTAGAGACGCTTTCGTGTATCTGACAAAATGTTTGAGCCATTTGCAGAAAAGTTCGGAGGTCATCCAGCCTTTCTCCTGTACAAACGAAATGCATCCCGGTGGAGCACCATTCATTAGCTCGTCTTTCATTCTTTGACGTGGAAAAATTATCACAGGAGGAACGTAAGAGCCAATGGCATTCATTGAACAAACGACAGTAACATGCTGACCGCGTTCTGCACTGCTGAGTGCCCCAACTTGTTTGCGACCTTTACAGGCATATATTTTTTGCGACTTCTTCTGGACTGTGGTCAAGCCAGACTCATCCATATTGTATATGTTCTCCGGGAGAAATTGGTGTTTGTTCCAAATAGACGCTAATGACTTGAAATATGCCAGAATGTTGGGTTTGTTAAAAGCCTGAGCCCTAGCTAACGAAGTACTTTCGGGATTTCTTAAAGATATGCGGGGATTGCGTCTTAAAAAACATTTAACCCATTTCCACCCAGCCATTTTGCGTTCCTTGTTGAAATTGTGTCCAATGCCATTTCTTTCCGCTACTTCGTAGACCAACTTACGTAAATCTGTGCTGGTAAGACCAAAAAATCGTGATTCCATGTCTATGATGTGATCAACAATTTCTTGTTCAATTTCTTTGGAAAAAGTGGCTCGTTTTCCTCCAAGTCCCTGTTTGAGAGCACCTTTATTCGTGGCCAATCTTCTCCTTAACGTGGTTTTGGGTACGTTAAATGTTTGAGCGGCCAACTTATACCCCATTTCTCCTGCCTGTACATTCCTGATGGCTTGTTCCATGTCCACTTCATCCCATTGCTGTCTTTTGGTGGTCATATCTTAAAGCAATAAAGCAAAATGTATTACCCACTGTCTTACATATAAATTACATAGCAATATGTTATTCCTATGATGGCCCCCTGGTCCATCAAAGGAGAGAATACATGGGGCCATCATAGGCATAAGTGCATATAGATTGCTTAAATTTCATATCACATGTTATGTTCACTCTAACCTCAATTTCGATACAAAAACTGTAACACGATACACACGCGAACATTTGATATAAAATCCAATTCTAAATTACTTGTTTTAACATAAATATTCACTAATATTTTCAACAGACTTATTAGATCAGGACCTACCTTTTTTTATTTTCACACACTGACACCTTCCTATGGCCGACGCCCGTTTCATACTGCATGTGCAGCTCTAAAAGGAAGTTAGATGACGTTTTAAAATGGCCGGCTAAACGAAAATCGCGGGAAACTTAAAAATACGACGGAGGGGCCATCATAGGAAGTGGGCCATCATAGGCATAATTCCCCTACTTTAACGTAATTCCCGTAATTTTTCGTAACTTTTCAAAAATTATCGTTATTCTCGTAATTTTGAAATGAGGAAAAATGAGGATAAAATCGCGGAAAGTGATGATAAAATCGCAAAAAAAAGAGTCAAAAATCGCAAAAAAAATATGAGTCAAAAATTTCAAAAAAAGTGAGTTTAAACTCGCGGAAAAGTAAGATGAGACTCACGGAAAAATGAGAATAAAGTTACGAAAAGTGAGGATAAAATCGCGGAGTATGAAATAGGAATCGCGGAAAAGTGAGGATCACATCGCAAAAAAAAAAATGAGACAAGAATCGCGAAAAAATGAGATAATATTTACAGAAGAGTGGGTTTACAATCGCGAAAAAGTGGATTTAGAATCGCGGTAAGTGATGTTAAAATCGTAAAAAAATGAGTCAAAAATTGCAAAAAAAATTATTCAAAAATCACAAAAAAAGTGAGGTCAAATTCGCGGAAAAGTGAAGATAAAATCGCGGAAAGTAGGGAAACAATCGCGGGAAAATGAGCTAAGAGTCGCGAAAAAATGAAGATGAAATACGGAAAAATAAGTTTGTAATCGCCGAGGAGTGACGGTGAAATCACAAAAAATGAGGATGAAATCGCAAAAAAGTGAGGCTAAAATCGTAAAAGAACTGAGGACAAATTCGCAAAAAAGAGAGTCAAAAATCTCAAAAAAGTGAAGACAAATTTGCAAAAAAGTGGGTCAAAAATCGCAAAAAAAATGAGTCAAAAATTTCAAAAAAAGTGAGTATGAATTATTCGTGAAAAAGTGAGATAAGAATCGCGGAAAAATGAGGTAATATTTGCGGAAAAGTGGGTTTACAATCGCGGAAAAGTGAATTTAGAATCGCGGAGAAGTGATAGTAAAATCTAAGATTTCTAAATTATGACGTCATCGATGACGTAAGTAAGTACAAAAAGTACAAAAAAAAAAAAAAATAATTTAGTTGCACTGATTTTTTATATTAGTTTCAGGTAGAGCTATGGTGAGATGCATAATGGAAGTGCTAATTTTTGCTTTAGGGGTGCTTAGCACCCTCAAGCACCGCCCTAGTTGCGCCTATGTGAATACCGAATTTATTGCTGGTGTAATGCACTCTAGTAAAATAGTTCATTAATAAACAACTTTACATTTCGCTCGATCTAATATCCAAAATTCCACAGACAGGTGGCGAATGCATTACCTGAGTTGACTTAGGCTACCAATAGATACTTATTTCATACTGTATTGTAAAACATATCTTTACATAGGTAGGTAGGTATTTAATTTTAGTCCGGAAATAGTAACTTTCCTAACAAGTGGGGAAGAGACACTTTCCGCAAGAGTTCGAAATAATACTTTTTTTACGAGCGTTTAAAAAAATATCAAAAAGTCAACATTTTAAAAATTCTATTAGATATGATGAAATGCAGAACATGTAATCGGTAATTGGGTTATGGGATGGGGGACTAAGTCAACAAAGGTTAATGCAATTGAATGGCGTTATATACATCAAGGTGTCACAATGGAAACAAAATGGAATGGAGCGATTTTTAGGCAGGAAGCAATCTATTGACCTGTCAAACGAAATTCAATATGGCCGTTCAGGTCAAACACCGTTATTTTGTCACATTCGAGACTAGGTTTGATATCGTTTGTCATGTTTGGCAACAAGAACCAGAACACAAATGCTTTTTTCATGAACGTCATTCCAGTGGCGGCTCGTGGTATAACATATTGGGGGTGCACATAATTTGTAATTCATAATAAATGCCGAAAGGGGGATGCCCGCGCCGGAGGCGCGAAATTTTTCGTGGTGCCACGCCCAGAAGTGTTTATTTTAGGCCTTTAAAAAAATAATTTATTGTAAGTGATCGTATGAGTTATGTGATGTGTTTACCTACCAATAATTAAAAATATTGTTAAGGGATTTCATATCTACCCTACCAAACAACCAACTAAGCTCAATTTAATACTTTTTTCGGTCTATCAAATCGTGGAAATTGAAGGATCTTATATCAATAAACTAGAAATTAAGTAACAAAGTAACTTACCTCGCTGAGTACATCGTCCTGGTCTAACAATTGTTTTTATACATAAATGTATTATAGTTTTCAATCTCACAATTCTCACAGACACGTTTTGTATTGAAAGATAAGAGTAAGATGTGATTTTGAGTTTTGATGTTTTTTAATTTTTTCGGATAAATGTACTAAATCTTTAACGCCGGATTTTGTCCATTCTGATGCTTCATCGCTTCCAAATAACAAACAGGGAAAACAGTAAAGACTATTACTAACATCACAACCGCACAACCAGTCAGTTTTTTCGTAAGTTTATATTTTAAAAGTTCGTTTATAATCACGACTTTTGCATTTTGTTATTTTGGTGATTATTAAATTTGGCTTTGGACGGCCGACACATTTGATTTGGATTTTTTCCTCCAAAGAAAGCGAAGAAAATTTAATTGTTTTTAAATATTGCACGCTAAGGCTATCGGGGTTCAGAAATCCCGCCATTCTACACACAGTTTTCAGTTAAATCGCGCTCCAATCGAAATAAATATAAAACAACAGCTTCCGATCCCAAAGTGCACTGACTACATGTGCACACCAGCCAGCTTAAAACATCGAACGTCGCTAGACCTTGGCGGGGAACAAAGAGTGCGGGGGGGCATAGTTCCACCAATTGGATTTAATATTGAAATGTGCAGTGAACGGGGCGATCAAGCGACGCGGTGGACGCTGTGATTCCAGCGTTGCCGGTTGCGTTTGTTTTGCTGGCGCATTTGGCCACTAATTTTTTAAATTAATACTTTACAGGTAGAATGTTAAAATTTGAAGAATGATAAAATTAAATTTAAAGTTGTTTGATATTAATTTGGGAGTGCACGTGCACATGTGCTCTTATGGAGGAACCGCCACTGAGTCATTACAATATTCAACCTGATATTGAATCACATGATCCTGGGATTGCCTAATTGTTGAAGGCGTGCTATAATTGACGTGTCTCGATACCTTGTATTTATTACAATTAAGCTATCTTTTTCTATTTCTGCGACACACGTCAATTATTAAAACTTACTTTTTTCGAAGATATCGCAATATTAAGCTTGAGTTACACTTATTTGTTCATGCCAGCGTAGAGTTAACATAAGGTGTGTTTCTGCAGAAATCACAAACTAATCAGCCAATAAAATTCACTCTGACTGGTTTGGAATTTCTGCAGAAGCAGACCTGTTAATAATAATAGATATATAATAATATATAATCATATTATTCATAATATTCTAAAATTGCCTAGGGAGTCTGTACAGATTTCAAAAAAATGCAACTATCTGCGCGTCGCGTGAATAGTTCGAAGAAGAGGTTTTTCTCTAGGTTTTTCTAGATAAATCCGAGTACCTACACTTGCCTGCTATAAATAGCGCGGAGTAGTATTAAGTTTAGGTCAGTTTTAATACGATGTTTGTCGTGTAGGTACTCTTCGAATGGTCATAACTTAATCTTATTAAGTTAGTTATTAGCTTGATGAAAGTTGTTACCGTGTGTGAAGTGAGTTTTAGTGAACCCGGAATCCGTGACAATAAGAATGATAGAAAAATAAGTAGGTACTTGATAATGTTCACTTACCAAACGAGTCGGCTCCTCTAAATATCGGGCAGGATAGAGTTACAATCACGGTCGTTATTAATGCAAATAGCAAATAGAAGATATAGTCGAAGAAAAAGTTATGTATCCAGTAAATGAAAGGTCGCACTCCGCACATAAACTGAGTTTGTGTAAAGCGTGTGGACAATTCGGAAAAAGGGAGAAAAATTAAAGAGGCTGTAAAGAAGAAGAGCGCTAACGGCACTATCATAAACCACATCGTTATGATTGTAGCGAATTCTCCAATTTGGTGCACACTCTTGGACAGGATGATCAGCGGGTGATTTCTAGTGGAAATCGAGTAATTCTCCCCCAAGCTATACTTCGCTATAGTATCGGATATCAGGTTGAAGGAAATGGCAGCCGAGTGCTTTGAGTAGCTGTTATACATAGCTACAGCATCCAAAGTTTCTAGCTTTTGTTCCGTCGACACATTAAATTCAGCTGCTACAATTATTTTTTGCTGCAAATAGAGAAGGTCTTTTTCATGCGCTTTTTCAATAATACCTGAAAAATATATATTTTTTTTTTCAGAAAATAAAACTTCGTTTTTTAGAGTTACGTACTCTCAGGTACATTATCAACTAATTCAAACTTGCTGTTTTGATCTGAGATCAATTTTTCGTATATTTTACCAATTTTTGCTGACGGATCTATCACCCGTCCATAAACTGTTGTGTCACCATAAGCACTCAAAGCAATTTTCAAGGAAGAGCCCCCGAAATCTGATTTTTCAACATTTGGTACTATAAAGAGGCTCGCTAGGACCAATAATAAAGCGATAATAGTCTGGAAATAAACATTATTAAATATTGCTTATTTATATAATTTCATGGGTGCTCACTGAAGCGATATATATGATGCTGTTCCTGAAGATAAATCTATTTCTCTTGAAAAGTAAAGCTCTCAGTGTGAGACATAAAGAAGCATCTGAAACGTTTCGCATAAAAATATTGTTATAGATTACATACACTAATCGTCTAGGAATTATTGACTTGGCCTGAGACAAGTCACATACCGAGTAATAGTTATTTACATTCCAGGCTGCAAAAGCGTACTTTCAGACAGGGGCGCATATACGGGGGGGGGGGAATTACCCCCCCCCCCCCTACTGAAAATATATTGCGAAAACAATTAAAATACCACTAACGGCAGTAAGTTTTTGTGCGATATGGCAACAGCGCTTTTTTACTTCTGTCTTCTTCATCGACGTCAAATGTCTGTCACTCGACGCCGCGACACAAAAGGATCGGATTGAATAGCGATTCCCCTCTTGATTATTGGTTTTAACTCCAGGGTAAACGTGTATTTGAGCCGGTTTTTCAATAGCAGGGTTCAGCATAACTCCAAGGTAAAACAAAGCAACTGGATAAGCTCACCCTGGAGTTAAAATTAACCCGGAGGAGACTCGCTATCGAGAAACCGGCCCTTACGTGTCCAGTTGCAATGGAATTATGCTTAACCTGGTGGTGACTTGCTTTTGAGAAACCGGCCCTTTAGGCCGAATTTATAGTTGCTTCTTTAGGTTTCCTCAGACCTCGAGGAGGCCTTGAACATTTAGAATTGACATGACTAACTTGTCACATAGTACCAAGTGTCCATTCTACACTCACGTCCTTTCAGAGATAAATCCTAAAATCTGTTTTTTTTTTTAAAGATAAAAGTCAAAATGACATTATGTTGGCAATACAATGTAAAATTGTCAATGCTTTCAAATTTTTATGCAGAAAAGGCTTGTGCTGCCAACATAGTTACTAAATTTTTGACTTGGGGAATTATCTTTAAAAAAAAAAACAGACTTTATATAAACTGTCGAGAATGGAATCTCAGTGTAAATATTGTTGTCAACAAAATTGAGCCAAGCCAGCGCCATCTACCATATTGGAAACTCACTATTTACTGGTTTTGCAACGACGCTACAGGCACCTACTTTACATAGGGCTTCAAGGCATTTTTATGATAGATGGCGCCCTGTCCGCATTACAGTCGGTCTGTTCAAATTTGTTTATTCTAGACTTTGGGACATTGATGTTTGCTCAAATTAATTAATGTTTTGGTAATTAGATCAAAAGACCGTTCCTTTATCGATGGTTAAGGATATCGTTAATATATTTTTTTTTTTATTGATAACCTATTTCACTTATTTAAAGTACTCCTCAGCGTGTTTAAATCCAACATTCAAAAACGCGCGTGTTTTAAAGTTACCAATGACAACATCAACAACCAACAACCCGAGAAAGGTCTAAATGTCAACTTTTTAATTATTGATTTTTCAGGAGTAGGTTAGGTACTTGTAGATAACGTCAAATAAAATGTAACAAGTGTCAAGCATAAATTTAGCATTCTACAATTATTAGTAATTTATGATTTAAACGTATACCAATAAAAAAAAATAGTGTAAAGTATTCGTGGATAACTGGTCTTTAAAACACTTGCTCTATTTCGAGCACTCGGCTGCGCCGTTGTGCTCGAAAAATCGCGCGTGTTTTAAAGACCTTAATATCCACTTATACTTTAATATACTATATTCAAAGTTCTGATTGATGTTTAATTGAACCTGTCATTGATCTAATCAACAAAGATAAAAATAGATCTTCCAATCTATAAAGTTTGAAGGTCTTCGTGAAACACACAAAACCACTTTGAAATCACTTCGAAACACTAGACAACACAAAGAAAGACGAAATGCAAGACCGGCGAACGAAAAACATTATGAATTCTAGGTATGATCAAATGAATATTTTGGCATATTATCATATGTTGATATGTCAATCTCATGTCAATGTAATCGACATCGGACGTGTTCTCGTTGTGCTGGTATTTTACAATTCTGTTGTTGTCAGCGACATCTAGAAAAACGGAAAAGAGTTATTATGTGGTTTATTACTGGCAATAAGAGATCGCAGGGCCTGCGTCCTTTGAAGGTTCTTGAAAAATACTTTCAGCCATCCTAGCAACTTGAATCTTGAATTTGTAGATCTCCTTGAGAACTACAAAAAAGCTTATTAGAGTTACCCCTCCACGGGGCATCGTTTTTGAGAAAATCAACTTCAAATCTTTCAATACATTTCCAGAGAAATTTCAACTTTGACGGCTTATATCTCGGAGACAGAAACAACCTGGAATATCAATACGAAACAAATTTGTAGGTAATTTAATGCTGTTTCAAATAAACCGGATTCGAGCTAATCGGTTCGAAATCAGCAAAGTTACCTATAAGCGAAAAAATGGCGCCGTGTCAGGTCCCTAAAATTGTCCAAGAGAAATTTTTTATCAATTTTTTTTGGCATGCTTAGGAAGCGTCGGGGCAAAAAACGCCTAGAGACATTTTCGACGTATTTTTTGCTTCTTTTTCCGATGGAAATTTCAATTTTTTAAAATTCGGAAAATTACATTACATGCCCTTTTTCAAAATGTCAAAATCGGCCCCAAAAAAAAATTTAGGGGCCCCCAGGAGGCTTTACTTTCTAGGTAGGGGCCTCTCGTACTTTTTTTTTTTGGATAGAGTTCCCGTTCCACTATATACGTACTAAATTTCAGCTCGATTGGACCAGCGATTCGGCCTTCACCAACACCAGCCTTCCTATTGGTTTAAACACCCTACCTGGACTAGTGCCTAAGAAAAGAGGACATTTGATAGGTTGTAATGGAAATGACCAGTTTATCATTTACTGCCGCTTGGATTTGGTTCAACTGTGGGATACTTTAATTATTAAGTAAAATCCTTTATTTGTTTTTATATTTATCTATACCGTTAGAAATCATCAGATAGTTCGTCATCCATAAGGGCCAAATTATGGACCAACTGGTAAGTGTCTGGTTGTTACCTAGCAGGTACTTTCTATTCTCTAGTGCATAGAAAGTACCTGCTAGGTAACAACCAGACATTTACCAGTCAGTCCATAATTTGGCCCTAAAGGAACGTGATAAAGTATCTGCAATTACCATGTTTTTACCTGGTAAATAAGTTATTTTGTTTGAATTTGTTTGTCGTAGACTCCTACGATCAACCTATCTCTAATCATCCTCTCTTCGTATGAGGTGCTACATTCTGGTTTTGCACAAACAAACTCATATGATTTGACCTGCTTTTTAAGTTCAGTAACATACTGTTCTACGCTTTGATCCTGCCCTTGAACAAGATTGTTAAATTTAAAGCTTTCCATAGGTACCTATAACCTTTTTTGGTAGGAAATAGGCATCATAAGATTCCAATAATTTTTGCAGGGTTGACTTTCTATCATCCTCGAATGTATTATAGACCTCTAGGCGTTCATCGCCTATGCAATTTAGTAATATGGCTATTTTTACCTCTTCAACTTCATTCTTTTTTCCAGATGCCTTCAAGTAAATATCAAATTTTTGCTTCCATAGCTGCCAGTTTTTGATATCATAATCAGTCAAGGGACTTGGCGGCTTGAAAAAAATCCATTTTGTTTTTTGATATTCTTCTTTATTGAAATTTTTTGGAGATTATCACTTTTAACTTTAGTTTAAACAGATTTGCCCAACTATCAGGCTGACGACACCTGACACCATGTCGTGTTTGGACTTTTATTAAAGAAATAACTAGAATACTTTAATTATCAAGTAAAATCCTTTTTTTACTACCGTGCGTAGAGTACTCACTTTACGCACTATTCAGTGCGTAAAGTAATTCACTTCACACACTGGTGCGTGAAGTAATGTCACTGACAGATGTCAACACTGTCAATTTAGTATTTTTCTGGTAAATTACTTCACGCACTAGTGCGCAAAGTGAACATACTTCACTCACTAGTTCGTGAAGTATTTGTCCAAATCTATTTTTTCACACATATTTGATTGGTAGTAGAAAAAATTTTGTATGCAATACGTGCGTGAAGCACCTTTTTTCACGAATGTGAATTTTGACGCACGAACCGGAGGCGAGTGCGACAATCACATGTCACAAGTCACTTTACACACTTGTTGCATAAATAACTATTTTCTATGAGTACCTATTGAATAATATGCGTAATATACATTCATTTTCTATTGATGAATGTGAATGATTACACATACAGTGAGTTTTTTTTTATTACTTAATTATTTTCAGCCAATGAAAATATCTTGGTCTCATTACTTCACTATTTAGGAGCTAATCAGAAAATTAGACAAGTTGACAACATACTTGAATCTTTCAATCGGTCATTATGACAGTTGATTTGGACAAGACTTATGCTAATCTAACCTCACTTTATCATCCAGCTGTCAAAATTGCTATTCAATTTTGTTATGAAAATTAAATAAAAAACCGCATAACTCGTGCCTATATTATCTATTAATCATAGAAAAAGTATAGTATTCTACTCGTAGGTAATGGCTATTACTCACTCGAATGATTACACTACTCGCCTGCGGCTCGTAGTGCAAACTTCATCCTTCGTGAGTAATAGTCATCATTACCTGCTCGTTGAATACTTTGATACTATTATTTGATCTACCGTTACAAGTTAGGTTATAAGTCGAAGTATTTTCTAGAAGGTCCTTTTCACCTTCCTTTCATCTGTCATTACGTCACTCACTTGGTATAGCGACATCTATCCTAATGATCTCAAACTATTAAAAGCTTTGCTTTGCCAACTGGGTACAAACAGCTAAAAGCGAGAACACAAATGCCTTGAGTTCAAACAACGATAAACCCAAATCAAATTTCTGCCTTTTCTATATAAACATATGGTCAGTTCGAAATAAGGTTGGGGAAATAGAAGCTTTTCTAAAGGACAATAAAAACAGGTACAACATTCTCTGTTTTACAGAACATTGCATGTTGGAACATGAAATAAAGCTCTTGAAAATAGAGGGTTTCAAAGTTGGAGCGTATTTTTGCAGAGCATCCAATAAACATGGGGGAGCTGCTATTCTTGCTGATGAAACATGGGAAACAAAGCCACTCGAGAACATAATGA